GAAACATTTTTCCAACGAACCTTTGCCGCACAACGTGAGCCAACCAGTGGTGTATGACATGCCTTGTTGGAACAACCTTAAATGAGATCCGCACGCTCGCCTTCAAAGTTGCGCCTCCCCTAACTCGTATGGTGATCAAAACGACAGTAATGACGATGAAAAAGAGGAAAGATATTACAGTGCAAAACACTACAACGGCATTCAGAGAAAACCTTTTGAGGACCCACCGAAAACTCACACCGCTGGCGAAAAAAAGCCTATGACAGCAAAATTTAAATCCTAGTATCCTTGAGATAAGCAGATCTCGACTCGTCAACAAATGATCTCTCCAAATTCTGACTGAGGACTCTTCTAGCACGGAGGGTATCCATAAATATGAGCTATCAACAATCCCACTTCCAATGCTAATTGTTGGTGGTAACTTGCCTAGCTCACAGCAACTACACGCGACTAAGACCTTTCTAATCACCTTGCATGATTTTCGGAATTTACTGCAGCATTGATCAGGGTAGGAGGGAGAAGAACTGTAGGTTGAGGAGAGTATTCACCTAAACGCTTGCTTAATTCGCTCGACTAGCCCGTCTCATCGAATGCTTCAGCGGCGTAGCTATGCATTCGGACTTAGTCCTTTTGTGGGTTCTAGAGGAGACCTACAATAAAATATTTTTGAAACTATTCCCTGCAGGAACATAACCGCAAATGACCATCGCTTCGTTGGCTGGAGCGAGGAGATGATGGCGGGATATTGGCTCTAAGTGGACTCAAATGGAGGCATGTGGGGGTATCATCACTGGAAGCTGTAAATGAGGCGAGCAGGGAGTACAAAGTTCGAGACATAGACACTCCTGGCCTATAGGCAGAAAGTACCTACATTTCTTTGTATTTTTAGAGATCAGATTAGATTAGATTTTAACTACAGTCTCTACTGTGGCTAAGACTATAAAAGACTGCTAAAAGCTATGACTAACTTTTTATTTCCAGTTAATATGTCAATATATTCAGTTCAATGCACTCTGATAGATTTTGAGGGTCTTGCCCTATTTTTAGAGACTAAATAGAACAATAAACACAAAACAAAAATCCATTTCCTAGGCTCGACATTACATGGAACGGAAGCATAGTCGACAGCCTTACTCTATTTCCTACATTGTGTGATGATGAAATTATCAGAGGATTCGAGTATCACACAGTCTTACTACTCATATTAGTTTGTGGTGCAATAAAAAAAAGTGACACACCACACCGCAAATGGCTCCACATAAAGACAGACAGCCATTCAGCAGCGGGGAAAACTCCTGGCATGGAACGCATCCAAACTATCGACGAAATGCACGCCCAAGGGCTCTATTCAACTGAATGACCAACGGATGCGACAAGCTGCCTTAAAATTTACAGTCAACAGGAACGGGGTCCAGAACGATGCCTCGCGCGCCTCCAAATGTGTGGTCAAAAAAGCTCACGAAAGCGAATCACTCCAGAATGAAACTCGCCATGCATAACATTGGGCGGGAAAAAAGAAGTGAAGAATCCCCTGCTAAAAAAAGACAGGTTAACTAGTCGTTGGAAACATTTGCGCGTTCTTAGACTGCTTGCCTTGCGACCCGGCAAAGTCTCAATAGGGATAGACTCTCTACATGGATGTCCTCGTGATCAAGAATAGGACGAGGCCGATACTTGGAGCAGAGGAGATGGTCGCTCGATTTTAAGAAGACCAGAAAGCACTAGAAGAAACAATAATCAAAGTGGATGAAGGGCCTCTCGAATGTATGATGGGAAACCAGAGGCCACACACGCTCCGAGTAATGGATAATCATTGCCTTCTGTCAGGCGCAGGTTCACTAGGCGCAAGACTTGAGGTGTAGGAGAGGGCGTAGCGTAGGAGGTACTGATGAAGGGCGCCTCGTGATGGGCGATCAACAAAACTGTATAGTAAAGGAATAGCGGCCGATTACTGTCTATTTTTTACATACATCTCGGAACTGTCTACCGAAGGGAAGCCTACTTCAGGTGTCCCAACTCCCAATGCGCTAACCTCACTAATTGTTCTCCTACACCATATCCTTGATATTCCGAGTAGGCCCTTCATAGTGAATCTGGGCCGTGTCGGCCTATGATTCCATATGAGACTTGCTCCAAAAATATCCTGTTTCCATGTTTGTTGCAACCCTGTATTTGTATGGCCAAGTTGGACAAGTCTTTGGATGGCAAGGCTAATGACGTCATAATGATAAGTGTCCGTGCGACAGTCACTGGGAGATGGCGCAGCCTGTAACACGCCTTGTGGGAACGCGGAAGGCTTTCTAGAGAAGTAGTAAAGAGGAATGCGGGAAGTCGTACTGGATGAATCGGCCCGAGGCGACAGTAGGTCAGTATGGCTGGCAGAGGACGCGAGTGAGATGTGATTAGAATTATGTAACAATTCTTAAAGACAGAAACCAAAGCGTGAAGATCTCAGTCCGGGAAATGAAAACCACATATCTGTCCTCGCTAATCAAAAAATCCTAGTGGGACTAAATAAGGAATCCATGAGTCCTGCCTCAGACATTTCTCCAGAATCCTTACACCTTCTTTTTTTTTTTTGCATCAGATTTGAATTGCATATGCAGCTATCTAGCTATGACACAATATCAAAGAAAAGTACAGAATAGATGATTCAGCGTAAAGGAAGAGCACTCATGCCTCGGTTTTCATTTGCAAGTGCCTCTGCGAAGTTATGGCAGCTTTTTCTTCACCCCAAGTCAACCCTCATCCGTGAATACCCACCCAGGGGAACATCTCAAAACCCCTGAGTTATCGAGACATGCCTCCATCATCTTTCAACTTTTCTCCGTGCGAAATATGGTCTAAGATGTCTCCTTCCCAAGTGGAGTAGGTGCCCAGGCTACTCAAACCATACCAGAGAACATCACCAGGAGGCGGACCATAACACCTTTCATCGTTTGCTTGTGTTTATAGAGTTAGCTGCACTCCTTACACCTTCTCATGCAGCGTTCAATAATTTCTTGACGCAATCACGCCAACATAGGTCAGTGAAAGTTCAGTGAACTCCGAGCTATTGAGTGTGTTATTTTGGATGCTACTTGAGCCATAGACTATCTAGCTCACTGGGCCCCTCTCTGATCCAGGCCACACTTTGTACATGTCAGGGTAAAGGTCATAGGATAGATTGACGAGGTATGATCTGGTGGTTGAGATTGTCTATAAATAGGAAAGGTGACTCCTATTGATTCTTATAAATATATATACATTGTGAAAAAATAGGGCACGACACTCATCATCTATTGGCAAAAATTGAACACAACCACATACAAATTTACTATTAACTTTAAAGCTATTTAGATAGTTTTAGCTGTCCTTCATAGTCATAGACTCAGTAGGGACATTAATAAAATTCTATTCTATTCTATTCTATATACATTGTGAATCGCGCATCAGACGTGTGATAGCACGTGACCATACGGTAACGTAATCCACTCTATCCCTTGACAGTACAATACTCATCTGCGTCTTTTGTCTCAGTAGGGACTTAATAGGGTTACTCGCTTGACGCGTGATCCGCCAGACGTTAAATAAAGATAAATAAATAAATAAAGTACAATACTCATTCCTATTGCCACCTCGGGCAATACCAAGCTCAGCTCCACAGGGCACAGAACTCTAATCCCAGCGTATCCTGGGCACTTGCTCCGGCGGAGGGAATTGATGCATTCAATAACTGGGTGCGTGTCACAGATTTCTTCGAAAGGGCACAACGAACAGTCTGACTCGAACGAAATCACGATCTGATGTAAACAATCTTCTCCTGTTAGAGTTAGACTCTAGTCCCATGGTGTCTAAACTATGTTTATTAGACTGCAGGTTTCCGCCGCTGATCATACATCTACGGGCAAATTACACTTGAGGATATGTGCACGGAAATGAAGGCTGGAAAACTTAATACAGAACTGACGGACATGGTAGAACGTAGTTTCGGACTTGCGCATAATATGGGAGGTAGGTCACAACTCTGTATCGAACATATATCTCAGGGGATATAGGTGCTCTATATTTGACTTTGGGAATATCTATAAAAGAAGGCATTTACATGTACATACTAGAGTAGACTTCACGGGAGGGTATTTCCATAGTAAATATATATATTGAAGATACTTGATAAAGACCTTTACATTATTTTACATCCAACTGCAATCGCAGCCACATCATAATCGACAAACAGACCATATTCATTATGTCTGAATATTTAGATAACCAAAGTCGAATATCTTCTTTTATTTTTTATTTTGTTTTATAAAATCTTTTCTTGATTTAGTACCAACTGCATAGCATGAGATTCGTTGGAGGGACGACCTTCATGTACACTATAATCTTCGAGCGCAGGATGATAAGATCCTAGCTATTGTTTGCTTTGGTGGGTCTATTTGGGCGCCAACACGTCGGGTAGTTTAATTTAGACTGGGCTTACCGGTACGTGAGTTCCTCACGTACTGTGCGCGGGCACGACGTTAAATATTATAAATAAAGTGCACTACTCATATCATCTTTTGTAACAAAAATATATCAGAGATATATTCCCCTTGATGAATAGCCACTCTGTCGGAGCATTTGCTCTGGTAGGCCTGAGGTTTAGATTCATGCCTTAGGCTACCAAGTGGACTCGGGTTTTATCAACGCTTCAGGAGCGTCCACAGATAGAGATCGATATAAATATACACGTTAATCCGTCACCGCTTCTGCAGTAGCGAACCCCATTCTCATTACCTGTGATATCACAGAGATTGACCCTGTCATACCAACACTGATCAGTGCTTGACTAGACAGCAAGCATAGACAGCTAGGTACTTCATAGGAAGACAACCCCATCGGCAAGTTCGACCAGGCTGTGATAGGAAGCCACTGCTCGTCCCACAAGTTGGGTTCCAGTAGTGCGAAAATCGAGACATCATATCACAAGTTGATATCATTATCTCCCAGTCGTCCAAGACCTCGCCAGAATCGACAATATGAGCCAAGCTAAGCTCCCAGAGTTTGTGGGACTTCTCCAGGCCGAATGGGTGAAGCCACACATAACGAAAAAGGATACAGGAGGAAAGGAAAACGTTAGTGATAGAGTTACGGATCTGAACATCACCATCGTCACATGGATCGACAATTCCCACCAAGGCTTCATCGACTACATGCTCCTCGAAATCTTCCAAGAGGACTTTGTTGAGTGGGATTCTGATAACTTCGCCATGGTCTACCCACCAATTCTAAGAAGATTCAAGACACTCCTTATGTCAAGAGGAATATATGTAGGGTGCGAGAACAACAAACGATCGACCGTCGCACAGCAGCTGGCAGCATTGCTTGAAAATGATACCCATGACCTACCCCAGTGGCCGAAGCGCGAACTTGACCAGATGATTGGATACGGGCCTGAATTTCAGTCACTTGTCTTCAACGAGGGCATACGAAGCACTGTTAAAGTGGCCGATAATAATTGCAGTGATGATACTGGCACTGTATTTGCCGACCTCAAAAGCGCAAAAACAGGCAAGGACAAATACATCCCGCCAAAGGGTGAAAAAGAGGAGGAAAGAATATATCCCACGTACCCTAGTTATCAGTGCGAAGATCTCTACAGGAAAAGTGATGGATACAAGAAGAGACCAGAGAAGAGGCAGAAGGTGAGAGATAGCATGGAGATTGACTCAGACAATGACTCAGACAATGACTCAGACAATGACTCCGGCAAGACATACATTCCAAAATGGGCGAAAGAAACACCGACCGAATGTATCAATACCTCGAGAGCACTGATGGATCTAAGTAAACATTATATGAATCCTCAAGATAAGTTCGGAGCCAGACACTATGAGGTGCTTGAAAATAAGCTCAGAATCTTCTTCGAAAAATGCCGGATTGCCGGAATTGGAGAAAACCTGTTCAAAGATGCTTTCTCCACAATGCTACGAGATACCGCGCACGACTACTACCTTAGGCACCTCGCTGAGCATCTTGAACACCTGAATTTTAACGATATGGTCCACAAGGTTAAGAGAAGATTTCACACGAAAACAGAAGAGCAAAATTACCTGACTGAATGGCGAGTTCTTACCCTACAGAAAGTAATTAAAGATAACCCTAACAAAAACACCCTCCAATGCCTTGACGTGGTTATCGAAAAGCTCCAGAAAATATATGAAGCTCTCAGATGCAACTACGGTCACAAAAGCCACAGTCTCGCTGGAAAATTATATGCCGTATGCCAAGGCGAATCAGCCTGTGCACAAGCACTAATACGCCCCCACGACGGATTTGAAGATGCCTGCGCTGAGCTTCGATCTACTGTTAAGGTCCACATGGACTGCACTCCACTGAATGCAGGGCTGTTTCATCAGACAGAAGAACACTTCGATAATGAAGAAGTGGATAATGGAGAGTACTTTGTCGACCGTAGGTACGGTGGAAAGCTAGGCTATATACAAAGAGGACTGCATGCAAGAAACGGCCGAAGCAGTTTTAAGGGTGGACTTCGAGGTGGATCCGACAGCAATAACGACCGCCGGAAGATTTGCTTCGTGTGTAAAAAGGCGGGGTGCTGGTCCACACGGCACGAACCAAGCGATCGTCAAGGAAGAATCAATAGCTGGCGGACGTACATGGCTGAAAATGATCTCCCCGCTGACAATGATACCCTGGCCATGTTCATCGTCGACTATGAAGGCTACGAAGTGAACCAGAATGATGATGAAACCGATCTTATTGGCATGTTTAACGCGTGGTCTGAGGATAGAACTGAGCAATTCCTCACAAGTTACGGTACAATCAATGGATGGAATACAGCTGTGCTGCTCAACAATCAAGCAGCTGAACATGCTCTGATAGCCAATGACCCATTTGAATGGGCCCAATCAGAGCCAAGCTCCATTTTTCAGTTTCACAGCCGTTACAATACAGAGGTCTTCCAGGGGATTTTGCCCGACACAGGAGCGGCAGGGCTGTCAACAGCTGGAGAAAAGCAAGTTAAAGCTCTCCAAAAGATCATCCCAGGGCTCGAGATGGACACAAGAATAGCAGGTAACCATTGTATAACTTTAGGTGATAGCCCCCATGTGGTAACCCTCGGAACGGTCGATGTGAAAATCCCGTTCGGCACAATAACATTTACAGTTGTTCAGGCAAATACTCCGTTTCTGCTTTGCTTAACTGATATGGACAAACATTGTGTGTTTCTCGATAATACTCGAGACTTACTCATCCATGCAAATAAACAGGGCAAGCAAGAAATATACCCTGCCGTACGCAAATGAAGACACCATTTCCTCCTTGACCTGAAAGCCACTGCAGCAGCTTGCCACCTGACTGAAATCGAGCTTCAGCAGCTCCATCGTCGATTCGGTCATCCAGCCGCAGACCGACTTAGCAGGCTACTCTCGCGCGCGGGGTACGATGAATTTAATGAAGATACCTTGCGACAAATACACAAGTTCCATCACCAGTGTCAGATCCATTCGAAGGCACCTGGCCGTTTCCGCTTTACGTTGCGAGAAGACATGGACTTCAATTTTCGCTTGGTCGTCGATGTCATGTACATACAAGGCAAGCCAGTTCTTCATGCAGTCGATGAAGCCACCGCGTTTCAAGCAGCAAGGTTCCTAACCAATATGACTGCTAAGGCGACCTGGGAAACACCACGAGCAGTGTGGATTGACACCTACCTGGGACCTCCTGACTTCATAATCACGGATGCAGGAACTAACCTGAAAGCTAATGAATTCGTTAATAACGCTCGGCTGCTAAGTATCCAATTGAAGGAAGTCCCTATTGAAGCACATCACTCCATCGGGAAGGCCGAGAAATACCACGGGACGATAAAGCGAGCTTATGAGATCTTGTCAGTCGAGTTACGAAACGTGGCAGCAGAAAAAATCCTCCAGATGGCCGTTAAAGCGGTTAACGACACCGCAGGTCCAGACAGTCTTGTCCCGACATTGCTTGTCTTCGGTGCGTACCCACGCATGACTCAAACATCCCCACCATCTGCGAACATTAAATAGCGCGCCGAGGCTGTGAAGAAAGCAATGACTGAGATCCGCAAGCTTAAGGCCAGGCAACAAGTGAAAGATGCTCTCGGCACTCGAAACAGGCCCAAAATTCTTGACACACTGCAGCTCCCTCTTACAAGCGACGTTCTTGTGTGGAGAGAAGGTGCTGGATGGACTGGACTTCATAAGCTTCTCGCACGGAACGAAGATGATACGGCATGTACTGTCGAGGTTAACAGCCGACCAATGACCTTCCGGATTACATCAGTTAAGCCATACTATCAGGATGAAAATACTGAGATTCCGGCAGCAGAAACGTCTATTGAAGAAAGCCAGGCACTCCAGCACGACGACGACAACTACAAATATAACCCGGACGCACAAATTCCTGCAGCGCTACGTCGCCGCGGTCGACCAAAGGATCCAAGAAAAAGCCGATTTCCACCCCAGATTCAACATCACAGTTTACTGGTAACATATTTGTAAGTGAAAAAGAGATAGCTGACGCAGAGTTGGCCGTGAAGCTACGCAAGGAAGGAAAGATACTGACCCTAAGAGCTCTGTTTGAGCTATCCGATCAGGCAGAAATCGAAGCACTCATTGGTAACGGTGTTTTCAAGTTCGAGCCGTATGACACAGTTAAGCATGGTAACTCAAAGATGTTTAAAGCAAGGTTGGTCCATGAAGTCAAAGGAAAAGGAACAGACAAGCCATACGAGAAGTCCCGACTCGTTGTAATGGGATACAACAATATAGAGAAACGTCAAGTACTTACACAGAGTCCTGCTATATAGCGCACCAGCCAACGTATTATCCTTGCGCTCACTCCAACATTATGTAAGGCAACCGCGCTGACTATCTGGTTGCGGGATATTACCCAGGCGTACGTGCAGTCAGATACCGTCCTCTAACAGCAGATAGTTGCAGAAATCCCAATCCAAATATGTCATATGTTTCCACCAAACACCATCATGAAAATTATCAAGCCTTTGTACGGACTAGCAGAATCTGGAACGCATTGGTGGGCTACATACTTCCGCCACCATTGTGAGAAGCTACTTATGAAGACATCAACATTCGATCCATGCCTTTTGGTGACCACGAAGGAGGCACCATCATTTGGAATAGTTGGAATGCAGACTGATGACATGTTAGGCCTAAGTGATGGGGCATTTGCAGAAACTGAGGATCGCGAATTGGCTTTTAAGGCAAAACAGAAAGAGTTCCTATCTGCAGATTATCCTCTACTGTTTAATGGATGCAAACTGACACTTGAAGGTGACGACCTAGTACATGCAGCAAAGGGCTAGAGGAGCCTACATAGCAACAATATGCCAACCTAAGGCCTCTTTTGACTTGTCAGCTGCAGCGCAACACAAAGATCCGAAAAGTGACAAGAGAGTGTTGCTCAACAAACGACTCAAATGGCAGAAAGAAAATACTGCCAGGGATTTACGTTATGTACCGCTTAATTTGACAAGTATGAAGCTTTTTGTATTTGTCAATGCGTCATTTGCAAATAACAAGGACCTGACGTCTCAGATTGGCTACACTATTGTGCTCGGTGGCGAGGAGGATTATCTAACTGACAGCTTTAAAATGACCGGCAATATTATCCACTGGTCGTCCATGAAGTGCAAACGTGTCACGCGCAGCGTCTTGGCTTCGGAAATCTATGCCATGGCTCACGGTGTTGACATGGCTGTGGCAATTGCTGGAACCATTAACACCATTGCTAACAAGTTCAGTACCATCCATAAGCTCGATATTCCACAAGTTCCAATCATCGTGTGCACAGATAGCAGGTCGTTATACAAGTGCCTCGTCAAGCTCAATACCACCAAAGAAAAAAAGTATGATGATTGATATCATGGCACTGCGGCAGAGCTACAAAAGAGGTGAAATTCATGAGGTGCAATGGATAGATGGTAAAGATAATCCTGCTGATGCAATGACCAAATCAGCATCAAACAAGGCTCTTGAAAATCTTATCAATACAGATAAGTGTAACGGCTAAGAAGCCGGTATTTTCCTGTAGCCAGTAATGGCAAGTACTGGCGTATAACCACCAGGGGGTGGGCCGGCGCAATAGCCTTGCAGAACATACCAGAACCACTGTCGAAGGTACTAGATAAGATTCGACATGAACAAGACTGTAACTGAGACTTGGAGAAGCTACTAGAAACCATATTCTCAGAGTTGCAACTGGAATTATCTAGAAATGAACTGACCTTAGATGGAAGGGCTTGGAGTGTAGTAATCTGTATAAATACCTGGCTAAGTATCTGTAGCTTAGTTCTACATAGTTGAATTGTTAATATACCATCATCCATACAAATGCTCCCTGCTTTCTATAGTTGATCTGTGACATAAGATTACTTTACGTATACAAGGTTGGGTTGAAAGAGCCAAAACCAATTGACTAGCCAATTGGAAAACGTACACTCAGGATCAGATTGAGTAAATAAAGGTGTACAACACTAAGGAGTTATGTGAGTGAATTGATCTTGGGAAGAGTGTGGTTAGAAACACGATCTTATTTTCCTACATTTGAGTATTTTACGGTATAGTTTCATGGGATGGTTGGAGTTGTGGATTTGAAGATTACAACGTGATTGATACCACAAAGGTTGGCAATTTGCTCTCTAAAGAAAAAGTTGCCAGTGTCGGAGCACTTGCTCTGGTAGGCCTGAGGTTTAGATTCATGCCTTGGGCTCACAAGTGGACTTGGGTTTTATCAACGCTTCAGGGGCGTCCACAGATAGAGATCAATATAAATATACACGTTAATCTGTCACCGCTTCTGCAGTAGCAAACCCCATTCTCATTACCTGTGATATCACAGAGACTGACCCTGTCATACCAATACACTCAGCGCAGTGTTTACCCATGTCATTCAGCTACCTTTTCCATGAAACCTTCCACGCAAAATAGAAAAATGGTAGCAATGGAAACTGCGTGCGCAGGAAAAAGTCTCAAAAAACCTGCAACCCCAGCCAGGCAAGGCCTAGACATCGGGACCAGTTGGGGTGACTGGTTATGCCCCGGAAACTATTTGGATGGCTTTTCCTCCATGATCAAGGGTTGATGATGAGTAGGACTCCGACCCTACCATCTGATCTAATTGTGGTTAGCTTCATGTAAATGGTGATAGGGGAATGTGTTGAGAGATTAACATGTTACAGGCCGCAAAAGCGATTGGTAATCCTCATGGAGGAGAGGACATTTTTACTCAATCTCGGCTCTGCTCTCAAGGATGAGGGTTTGACAGTGTTCCACGGGGTGCATTGTATAGCCTAGTGAAGATCTAGGTGGTGAATGAAGATAATAAATGGGTCAAAGGGATGACAGGTCTTCTCTAGGAAGAGATGAATGGGCAACAAGTTGCAGTAGATGTTACACGTGGGTCTTGCTGATTAAGAACTGGGCAATGTGTGATGGGTAAACAAATGCATTGTAAAGGATAAGTAAAGAAGACGTTGCGTGAGGAGTAAATCTCTCTCGCCGAACTATTATGTACAAGATTAGAAGCCTTTGCCAACCGGAATTAATTGTAATCAATTCTTGCCAATATCTTCGCATTAATGGCTGTGTTCTTGTCCTTCTCTTCATCACTCTCTTGTATATCCTTACACGACTTTTTACATAACTAATTGTATAGGGGAAGCTATTATTAAATTGATGGTTTTAATTATCTACCCCTTCATCTTATCACGAATTAATATTAGTATTAAAATTCTATTTACGTATCCGTGAAAGTATTTGATCCGCAGTTCCAGCAGGCTAGAGCGCGGAAGCAACTGCGGGTGGCGTGGAAGCCCAAACAGCGTTTACACTGTTCAATTTGGCGACGAAGCTGGACCTTTGTAGCCGCCCCGGACTCGTCGAGATTGCGGAAGCCCGCACGAAAAGGGCAGGCCAACTTCTGTAGGGCGCCCCAGGACGGCATGTCCCGTGAGGTCGTACTTGAATTGGAAGCTGATGTGTTTTTTGGTAGATCTCCAATGAGAACCAATCCGAATTGATCGTACGAATACAGTCGCCTTCTCTTATGGTCGCGGGAATATTTGCGATCCGAAAGGCAACAAGGTTGGAGGCTTCCTCGAGTTTGGCGTCGAAGTCCGAAAACTTTGGTGCGGCTTCTAGGAGCTCTCCCCTTTCATTTTTATTCCCTATCAGAATCGCAAAACCGGTTCTGACACGTTGTATAGAGCTGGCGTCACTCAAGGGGCACTCCAGCCTGATCTATAGTTGTTGCCTTATTC